CACTTTCGGCCAAGCGAAGCAACTCTTTAGATCTTTTGAGTCTATTTTCTTTCTGTTGCGGTGTAAGTTCTTGCACTTTTTGGAATTTCAATGGCTTTACCTCGAGCTCATTTTTCAATATTTACGACATGTTCAGCTCACGAGCCATTTTTCGGCCACTGTGACGCGGGTTTCGATCGAGTCGCTTCTTCACTTTTCGAACCATTTCTGCTGATGTTGCAGTTTTCTTCCGTCCACTCTCTTGACGACGGGCTACGCTACCAGTATCACGGTAACGAGCGATGATACGAGACACACAAGATTTATTCAAATTTAAGTGTTTTCATCTCACCCTTTATAGTAGAATTTTATGACACATAATTTTGTAGATTTTTGGACGTTCAGTGGGAGATTTTAGCAGAATTTTCAAAAATAGGACCAAAAAGACACATATGGTGACTCCCTTGAGGGTTAAATTATCTTAAAAAAATATTATTCTTGTTTCCTTCTTTTTTTGTGTTGGACAGTGTAATTTTTTTCTCTTTATGTAAGGAAATCCAATTTTCTACCCATGTCCTTTTCATACATGGCACATACACATGCTGGCAGAGGAACATCATCAAGGACAATTTGTGATGTTAACCTTAAAGAGGTAAGCAGATGTTTCCCAACGAGTAACCAAGTAGTACACACAGAAGATACGCCAAGTGTGTGTGTGTGCTGTCTGTCGTTCAAACATAACCAACAGCAACTTACTATCAATCAGCAAGTTGTCTATGAACGAACCACCTTTTTGGGATGCCCACAAATCCTAATTGAAAATCTTGCTCCTTATATCTGAAAAAAAAGAGGCACTTTTCACCTTTCAAAATTTACCTGTCAAAGTGAGTGTGTGTGTGCGCCGCAAAAGGCCAAATGAATTATGAAAAAATATATGAACAAAAGATTTTGAGCAGATTCCTTTTTAATTTTCCTGAGAATATTCTTTTAAATGTGCCTCCTTCATTCATTAATAATTGAAATAAATATCTGGGAAAGAAGAACAGAGATAGGGATAAAGGAAAAGAAGAAAAAAGTGCAAAAACAAAGGCAAAGAAACCGTTTGAGGAAAATTTTAGTTTTCGGTCGTTGTTTTTTTGGCAAAGCCCCTCACACACTCGCAAACAATTTCCACAAAGGGAAAGGCAACAAACGACCAAAAAATTGTAATAGAGACGGACGGACAGGCGTGTTGAGAGCTCACTTGTAATTTCATTAAGTGACTCAAATTCAGATGTTCAGTGGCCAACAGACTTTGAGTATCCTTAAGTTACATTTTAAAAGGCCATTTAAAGTCAGTTAAATTTCATAAGGCAAAGCGATTCAATGGTGCTGGCTGGCTGACTGACTGCCTGTGTTCACCTTTGTGTACAAGGTGGCGGTGGTGGTGTGGATGGGGTGAGTATATCATACTCAGAGATAAACTACCGTTTATCCCTTAGGAAACAAACAAAAATCCGGTAGAACCACTATTGTGTGGTGGCCTTACTCAAAACTCTCGAAACCAAACAAGTTTGTTTTCTTTTTTTGAGAGAGAGAGACTCTCTTAATTTTCGTTTCTGGCCATGGTGTTCATTAAAACAATCTCATGGATACATTTCTCTTAGTTTGAATCCATAAGTTTGTTTGGACAACCTCACGGATACATTTATTTCTCTTCGAGTGCATCCGTAAGACACAAGAGCAAATTGTTTCCCACAATTGCATTATTTGCTCTCTCTCTCCCTCTCTCATTCTAATTCTCAATCTCTTTGTTAAAGCGGCATATTGGGGGGTTTCCTTAGGTTTTGTTGTTGCTTGTGGTGTATTCTTTTAGCTTGGCAGAGGTTAAAATACTCTTATGGTATGAAGGAAATTATAGGGGCTCTTTTCATTGGAATTTGTATTTATTTGCTGCTGTTTTTTTCTGTTATTTCTCTGAGGTTTTATTTTTCGGAATAAAATCCCCACTTTTCACTTCTTGCCCGCACCCTCTTGAACATATTGATTTCTCTGTGTGTAAATATGCCTTTGAGAGTATCTGTTTCGTTTGTATGGATGTGTGGCTGGCTGTGTGTTGATTTTTTTTTGTTTGGGGTTTGAAGCTAACTGAATTTAAACAGCAACAAGAACAAGAGAAAAAATAAACTAAATGACCCCAAAGATGTACCATATGGGACAACAAATGAAACCGTTTTGGAAAGGAGAGAAAAAAATACCAACAGCAAAAAAAACACTTGATGGTTACACGATTTTGAGTGGCTTAATTTTTTTATTTGAAATAATTATTTTTTAAAACGGTTGCAGTTAATTCATGTAAAGAGATTTGTTGTTGAGTTTTTCGGTGGTTTCTGTTACAATTTGATATTAAAGGATAATAGAGTGGCTGTAAGGATACATTTCCTTCCACCCTTTCTTATCACTCCTTCCTTTTAACCTAGATAAATGTAACAATTTTTGTGGTGATGTCAAGGTAATTGTCAGTAAAAAGGCACAGATAATTTTCAGTGGTTTCTATTACAATTTGATTTTAAATTGACAGACGATTGGCTATAAGGATACATTTCCTGCCAACCTTCCTTATCGCTCCTTCCCAACTCTTCCTGAAACAGATAACAATTTTTATTGCGATGTTACGATAATTCTCAATATATAGGCCTGTATTTTGGCAAATATAATGAATACATCAAAATCGATTACAGTGCGAATTCAAAAAAAAAAAAAAATACCGTTTCAAATAACCTGATGCAGGAAAAATACCTGAAGCTGTCAGCAGGTTGTGAGACATATTCATAATGTACTTTAGGAATATTTTATATTAAAATGGTTTCATGACTGTTGCCTCATTATTTCCAGTATTTAAGTCAAAGAAGGCATGAGCATTCACGAATTTTTATGTCAATATATTTTTTTTATTTTTTTTTTTTTTTTTCAAACCTTTAACACTTCAACTACTCTGCATTTTTTATTAGTAAATTTTAAAAAATTTATTTAATAAAATAATATTTAAAAATGTAAATGGACCAGAAATATTAAGAAAAATCCCATTTTAGTTCATCCTAGAATTTTTTTATATGACTCAAAGGCATTTATTTATACCCTACAACACCATGTGTTTCGGGGTATAGGTACATAAGTTTGATTGGCCAAAATATGATTTAACACCTCGAAACATTGGCCCTGCACGATCTTGCTATGTGTGTCCGTTCGTCTGTCCATGTTAATTTGTAATTATGCAAATATGGTGCGATCCTCCCGAAATTTAACATACAGGGTTAGGAAAAAAACTGCAACAAACTACTGGACAATGAATTTTTCTCATCGGAGAAATCCAAATTCGACAGTTCACCACTTTCGGCCTAGCGAAGCGAACCAACTCTTTAGCTCTTTTGAGTATATTTTCTTTCAGTTGCGGTGTAAGTTCTTGCAATTTTTGGAATATCAATGGCTTTTCAATATTTGCCGAATGGAATATTGCAATATGTTCAGCTCACGATCTATTTTTCAGCCTCTGCGCTTCTTTACTTTTGGAACCATTTCTACTGATGTTGCTTCCGTCCACTTCCTTAACGTCGGGCTACGCTACCAGTATCACGATGGCACGAGACACAAAAGATTCATTCACATTTAAATGCTGGAGGGCTCTAACCATAGCCACTTGTGGTTTTCCAGCCAAGTATAAAGAAATCACACTATCACGCTTGAATTCCATAACGAATAACTTTTTTTCTGTAAAATTCTCAGCTAGATGCTTTTGTACGCTTGTAAATAATATAATGAGCTGTCACTGGAATAAATTTAACAGCTGTGTCAAATACCAAAAATTGGGGAAATTATATTTTCCAATAGCTTATAATTTTCGATTTTTTATATTTTTCCAAAAACCACCAAAAAATCGTGGATTTTTAAAAAATATTATTCCATTTGGAACGAATTTGGAAATTTTAAAATAATAAAACCCGTTAAAAATTTTGTTAAAATCTAAAAATATTGGGGTTCATTCGACGACGTGGACCTGCATAGGCAACTTTTGTCATTAGCCATTATAATATTCAAATACGAAATTAAAAAAAAAAAAAAAACGGCGAATAAGGTAGCTAATATGGGGCCAATACGAAGAACTGGAACTGCATAAATAATTTTCTGACATATACTACATTTCCCATTACAAACTCTAAATACGAAATTTGAAACAACTCTGGTGAAAAATGTCGCTAAAATCATCAAAATACCAAATATTGGGATGTACCGTTATATGGAGGCTATACACTGATAGAAAAATGGCATTTAAAATTTAAGCCGAATACACTCAGATTTCACTAAAATCGCACTTAAAAAATTAAGTAAATTTCGTACTCAGATATTCTTAAAATTAGTAAAAATTTGGATAGAATTATAAAATCAAGTACGGAATATATAAGAATAAGTTTAGAATTCTTGACTAAAGTAAACAAGCATGATATTAAGTGAAACTTCGTACTTCATTCAAGAAACAATTTCTTATAATGAAGAGTAAGTCATGTTTTACTTGAAGTTAAAAAGAAAATTCTTAAAACAAGCTTTGAGAGAAGAACTTGAGCGCATAAAATTTTCACTCTCTCGGTCACTAATGAATAGTAAGCCGAATGTGACTTGAAGTTAGAAGAAAATTCTTAAAAGAAGCCTTGAGAGAAAAAAAGATGGAATACAAAAACTCTCTCGGCTGTCGTTTGTTCTTAGTTTGCCTTTGTCCCTTTCTAGCTTTGACACCGACAAATTTGAAAAAATAGAACTAGTCTGATTTGCGCGTGCCTGTGGTCGGTTGTGTTTAAAGTATTGATTGTTTTTTGTGTAAAAATGAGTGAAAGTGTTTTTTCAACTGTGGATGAGACGCCTCCCGTGGACGACGACTCCCGCCTGCGCAAATTACTCCAGGAGTTTCAATTGGAGTCAGTCTTTGATTATTTGAAGGGTGAGTATATAACAAAGATGTAAGTGAAAAAAGTAACAAAAATCGGTTTCGAATATTATCAAGTGATTATAAAAGTGTGCGCACGTGTTCTTTTTTTTTTTTTGTTATACGCATGAAATTATTTACTCTTGTTTCAAATTCATTGACGCTAGATACACATGTTCATAACGGTATTTTCTTGAAAAAGTGACAACAAAATGTGCAACGCACAAATCTCAACAACATCTGTTTGGCTTCGCAAACAGTTTGTGTGAAATATATATGTATGTACATACACACAAACCCCTACTTAGTATACACACATTTCCACACAACAAAAACGCGATCTTCAAAACGATAAGCAAAGCGCATAAATTCTTAGATAAAGAATAAACTTCTTGCATTTTTAACGCGCATATATTGTAAGTACTACCTATACTAAACATAAGTGAAACATACTTAATGTAAGTGGGAGAGACCGAGTTGAAGCCAACCCAAAATATTCACTCTCAATCATTCTCATTATATAGTTTTCGTTACCGTCTGTTACATAGGTTTTTTTCTTAAAGCTAGGAGGGGAACAGGGTTAAAGAAAACGCAAATTTTACACTCTTGTCTTTTCTCATTACATTTATTCGTTTGCGTGCTGGCCTCTTCGTATGTTTTTCTGTTCTGAGTTGTAAAATGCTATCAGTTATGTAGTTTCTTGTGTATTTATTAATATTGTGTCAAAGTGCATAAATGGTTTTAACAGAATTTCTTTGATATTGTTATTTGTCTTATCGTCGTTGCGCTTTATGACAATATTTGCATATTATCTTTTTCGTTTGACAATAACTTGATACCTTTTTGTATTTAGCTGCTCAAGTGTCGTATAGAAGTTTGCAATACATGCAAGCGGAAGACATAAAGGAAGCAATACCTCCTCTTGGTCTTCGAATTGAATTTCGAGAAAAACTTTTCACTTGGAAAAAAGTGCAGGTAAGAAGATTTAATAAATATACATTTTGGCGAATTAAAGTGATTTTTAATATTAAATCATAGTTTGGTATCGATGACGAAACAATTTCTGTGCAGTCCAAAGTGGACAATTGGTTGAAGGAAAAAGAATTCCATGGCAAACATGTTTTGAATAAGGTAAGATAAAACAAAAACGTATTTTATTATTTCGCTATCATATTATTATTATTATTCTTAAGAGTTTGGTCAATATTTTGAAAGAATATCCAAGCGCAAGACCCTTATTAGAACACAAGAACAAAAATAAGAATTTAACGACCGATCATAGGAATTCCCTTATAAAGATAATAGTCGAAGAAGCCGTTTCCAACCAAATTCCGATTAGAATTCAAGATTTTCCCATATTGTTAAATGAAATTGTGTCGGTATTTCCATCCGAAAAAGACGTACAGGTAAATAAATATATTGTTGTGACAGGTAGAATTTTAATAATTTTAACAATAATTACAAAAGAAGCGATATCTCATGAGCTTGTTCTTAGCAGTGACACAGAAAATTCAAACAATTTTTAGAATTCAATATCCAGTTAATAAATTGGTAATAGTTTATATTTTAATACTTTTTTGTAAAAACTCCGTGTCATATGTTTTAAGATAGTCAAGCTCTGAGGAATGCTTGCGCATTAATATAATATATTATAATTTATATCACTACTTTTTTATAGGATTATTATTTTATTCGGAGAGGTGAAAAGGGAAGTCCTAGCGGAAAACTGTACTCCAAGTATAAAAACTTCCGAGCTAAGCGATTAAAATATGACAATAAAGCTTCGATTGGGGATGCAAGTAATGAAAGAAAAAGCTCATCTGACCAATTAAGCAGCCAGATATATGAAAATATTGAAGTAGACGAATCGATTGCTTCAGCTTTAAAGGTTTCTTTGAATAGGGATTCGGCTGATTGGTCCGATGTTTGTGAAAAGTGGAAAAAAACTTTTCATCTTCGCCGCCAAGAATTGTCAGAACTAAACAGTGGGGCTTTTTTGGAATCTTGGTCTAAATTTTCTCACCAAAAAGCTGCTGATTTGGTAAGCATTTAATTAAATAGTGATTTGCAATAAGAGTAACAATTATTAAACTTCATTCCAGTTTAATTTGATACATTTACCACTATAGATTTCATACTCCGTATTATCCTTTCAGATCCAGATTGATTTCGAGCTTTTGTATCCAGGCAAGAGTCATATGTTGTTTTCCAAGTGGCAAAATTTCAAAGGAAAAATTCTGGGATACTACGAAAGAAACGTCACCAATGAAGCATGCAAGCAGCAAATTTCTAAAGCGAAGGAAACACAACAAATAGGTAAAGATCAGATCAGTTTTTATTTTTGTCTAAATTGTCCCTGATTTCATACCGATTCTTCTAGATTCCGAAGACTATCTGATAACAATTTTATTAAATTCAATATTTCCATCCTCCGCACGATTTAAAAACAAACAGGGCAAAAAAACTTTGAAGGTAACAATTGTTGACTCCCAGGATAGTTTCGTACTTCGCTTAACAACACTGAACGACTATCAACGGAAGATTGAAGAAACGGTAAACAAATACTATTCCGTAGGACTTACGCTGCAGCCATTCCTCATTTTGGAAGGTAATGAAATGGATGTAAAAGGTTTTTATATTTACTTTGATAAAAACTTAATCAAATTGGAATCATTTTTACAAAGCCTAGATGTGTGTTTCAAAATCTTTCATGTTCTCTCGTTAAAATATCCTATTGCATGTGAACAGTCTTGGCTTTTCATTCAAAAGTATTTTTTTGAAATTGAAACAGAATTTGATTTTAAGTCATCAAATGTTACATCAGTAGTTAACTTCCTGAATAACAACTAAAATAACCACAATGTATATTTGCTTTAAATGCCGAAAAGAACTTGAAACTCCAACTATCTTAATAAGACATTTTAAATCTAATCATTTGTTAACTCGACAATCTCTAAATATTCTTTGTATGCAAAATTCTTGTAAGCAAACTTTTACGAACTTTTCTTATTTTCGTATGCATTTAGAAAAAGTGCATACGAATGAAAGCAATACAAATAATTTTTCTGAAACTCCTAATACATTTTCTTCTTCCGAAACTGTGGCATCTACGAAAACACATTCTGTTATTACTGAAAAAATAACTCACGTTCCATTTACTATACAGGAATTAAAATATAAAGCGTTAGATTTATCCTTAAGCTTATACGATATGAATTCTATGCCAAGAAACCATGTTATTACAATTCAAAATACAATTTCTTCCTTAGTCTCATCTATCGCAGCTGCAGTTTCAAGTTTAGTTAAAGACGATCAAATTCAGAGCGATATAAAAACAATTATAGATTTTTGTAAAAATCCTTTCGAAGATATAGCCACAGAATATAGGATGATTAAAACATTGAAAAACCTAATGTTATATGAGGATCCAAAATTAATTGCAATTGATGAAAAAATCGCTGAAATAATATGCCATGGAAATCCCACTTTAGGAGTGAAAACATATGACGTTATTGTCATGCCTTTACAGTTTATGATCAAATCTATTTTTGAAATTCCCGATTTGTTAAATCAAACATTGGAAAATATCCAAAACAGTTTATCTGATAGCAACTATACCAGTCTGGCTAATGGAGAGATTTTCAAAAAAAAGGTAGAACAATTGGGGTCTACTTTCGTAATTCCTTACATATTGTATTTCGACGACTTTCAGATAAATAATGCTCTTGGCAGTCACACGTATTCCATATGTGGTTGCTACATACATTTCCCTTTAATGCCGAAATATTTATTGTCGAAGATTCAGTTTATTTTTTCCGCAGCTTTTATATCCACATCAAATCTTAAGGAGTGTGGCAATGAACGCTCGTTTTACCATTTCGCAGAAGAATTAAAGCAATTAGAAATGGGAATAGATGTCCTTGTAGGTGGTAAAATCCGAAAAATTCGCTTCATTTTGTGTTTAATAGTAGGGGACAATTTGGCCGTTAACAGTATTTTAGGCTATGTGGAGTCTTTTAACGCAAAAAGATTTTGCCGAACTTGTAGACGTCTGAAATCTGAAATGCAATTTGATAGCACTGAAATACAAGAAAGTATAAGAACTGATGTAACCTATCAAAACGATTTAGATGAAGGCAATTACAAGGAGACAGGTTTGAAAAGTTCATGTATATTTAACGATTTAGAATATTTCAATGTCGCTGACAATTTTGCGTTTGATATAATGCATGACGTGTACGAAGGTGTGTGTGAATACGATGTTTGTAAAATTTTAGTTGCGCTAATTAATGAAAATATTATATGTTTAAATACAATAAATAGCAGAAAAAAACTTTTTACATATGGAGAAACAGAAATTGGAAACACTTCTGCCCCATTAAATTTAAATAGATTAACGTCATGTAAGTTGAAAATGACTGCTAGTGAATCAGCATGTTTTGTGCATTTTTTACCACTTATGATTGGGGACTTAGTGCCTCCTGATAATCAAAATTGGCTTCTCTTACTTTTGTTGTTGGATATTATTGATTTATTGTTCAGGTCAAAGTATACGTCTAGTGACTTAGATAAACTGAAACTGTTAGTAAAAAATCATCACACCTTGTACACAAAACTTTTCGGAGCATTAAAACCTAAACATCATTTCATTGTCCACTACGCTACAGCAATACAAAAATGTGGACCATTAAGATACATATGGAGCATGCGCTTTGAAGCAAAACATAAGGATGCTAAAATTTATTTTAATAGCATTACATCTCGGATAAATCCACCATATTCCCTCGCAATTAAAAATGGATTAAAATTTGCTAAGTTTTTACTAGAACGCAGAACAGGCTTGGAGCCTATTTATGAATGTTCGTCTTTCAATACTGATACTACAGTTGCTACTAGCGATTATGTAGATAAAATTAATAAAATAGAAGATCTTTGTCTTGGTCGATACAAAATGTGTGCTGATTTAACATTTAAAGGGACGCGATATAAATCCTCATATTATTTAGGAATTGTATCAACTGATTTTGAACTATACAAAATCATTCACTTAATCGTAAGTTACAACGATAAAATTTTTATAATATGTAAAAAGATAAGACTTATACAATTTGATAAGCACTTTCGAGCATATGAAATTGGTTCCGTAACTAATGACATAGCCATAAAAAGTATCACAGAATTTAATACTCCTCCATTACATCTATATCCACTAAATAATGGAAAAACATATATCCGAGTAAAACATTTGTAAAGTATTATTTTGTAGCATGTAATAATATATAGATCTGAAAATGAATTTTGTTATTTTATTTATTGTTTGTAATTCTGTATAATTTTCTTTAAAAATCAAATAAACCATGTTTCATGTATACAAACTCATGTTTTATTTCATATCAAGCTCGGAAATGAGCTCGGAAAACTCAATTTAAAATCTTATAGGATCATTTCAATAACTGCATTTTCTTAAATCAATCTTATTTTTGAATTAAATCAAGCACGGATTCGGCTACCAATCAGAAAAAAAATCTTGAACCATGAATATTGTGAGATCATTTTGATCTATATAATTCTTAAATCAAGCCCACGTTGCTGTTGAATCAAGTTTTACTAAAAATTAAATCAATCCTAGCGATCTTTTTTGAAGTATATTTCGTACTTAGATCTAAACTTTTAATAACTTAAATTAATTCAGATTTTCTTAAATCGAGATTTTTTTGAGCTTATATCAAGCACAATCCGGCTGAAATGGGGCTAAAATTAAGAAGTCCACACTAGAAAAAACCGTACTTAAATCAAGTTTTTTCAACTTGGTGCAAGAAAAACCGCACTTACCGTACTTTTGACACCGCTCCGGCTTCATTTAAGTACGGATTACTCAATTTTTTTTATCAGTGTACGAAGACGTGGGTCTGCATATGCAATTTCTTGTTATATTACGAATTCTAAATACGACATTTGGAACAACTCCGGTGAATAATGTCCTAAAATCAAAATTTCGAATATCGGGGGTTACCGTTGTATATGAGTTATACGATATCGTGGACCTATATAGTCGTTTGTCTTCTAGGGATTATAGTGCTTAGAAAGAACTTCTAGTATGGATTTCTAGACAATTCCATTGAATTATGTAGCTAAAATCATCAAAATACCGAATATAGGGAGGTACCGCGGGATGTACAATATAGTGGTAACGTACTCCGAAGGTACTCATTTTGTGGACTTTCTGAACATTTTATTGAAAAAATTGGCTGCAATCATCAAAATTCCGAATATCGGGTTAGTTTGAGGGATATACAATATCGTGGACCTATATAGACAATACTTTCCCAGGGGGTAATGTACTCAGAAGGTACTCCTTTTGTGAATTTTAAGGCAATTTCCTTCGAAAATTTTGGCCACAATCATCAAAATACCGAATATAGGGGGTACCGTTATATGGGGGCTATACGATATCGTTTACCGATATAGCCCATCTTCGAATTTGACCTGCCTGCAGGCAAAAGTCTGATCTGTGAAAAATTGTAGCTTCGTATCTCTATTCGTTTTGACTCTAGCGTGATTACAACATACGGACAGGTCTAAATCTTGTTAGAATTCTATGCTGATCAAGAATGACGAGCTATGTATGGTGGAGGGTGTAAAAATAATAATAACAACAAAAAATGTGCCAAATATGACTGAATTCATTGTTCTCTTTTCTTCTTTCCCCTTTGCCCCATTATTATAATTTTTCAGGTATTTTTGTACGGAGAGGGCTAAAATGTAGTATTTTGTGTTCGAAGAAGGTATAAGTCTATCGTGTAGAAATATTTAGTATTTTTGTCCTTTCTCTGGGTAATTCGACCATTAGAAGATCAACTGCTTTGGCTTTGTTTAAGTTTTCATATGAGGGGTTTGTCATTGAAATAATGTATAAAATGTCCGTAATTATTGTAAAATATATTGACTCAGCTCTTAGATATATCGGTTGGCAAAGCCTGTTCCAAGGCCATAATTTAGAAATGCTACAAATTGTTATATCAAACCAATGTTTTTACTCAAAGTGCTTCCAAGTTTATTATTTATGTGTAAAACCCCACCACAAATTACATACGATAAGTAGATCATAAGAAACTTTCAATATTTTCACTTAACCACATAATAATTTCGGAACCTTGCTAATTTCCCCTTAAACCTTCAAATGTCCCCGTAAAACATTTGCATCATAATTCCACTGGTTTAAGTGATTTTTCTGAATAAAACTCTAACCCACACACATATGTACATACTTATCATCATTCCTACAAAAAATGCAAAAATTATTCCCCCCTTCTAGACATTTGACATGGTTTGACATGCTGTATAAATTTCAATCTAACGGGATAAATGAATGAAATATATAAATTAACAACATTGCAGAAGTAATCTGAGATAGGAGGCGCTATCTCTTTTATTTATCAGGTAACAACAAATTATGGCAACCTCAAAAATGAGTGCTAAAAACACTTCTTAAAATGGTAACAAACAAGCACACACACACAAACGGCAATATGCATACACACAGAGGCACGCACGCTCCCAAAAAAAAAAAAAGCGACACACACACACACCGACTACATATTTGTGGGGTCTTTTGTTGTTTTGTTTATTGTTTGCAATGTGAGAGCAGCGGAGAAACCGAATAAAAACTGCCTACAGCCGACGTTGATGTTGTGGCGTTGTTATTGTTTTTTTGTTTCGTGTTTGTATAATTTCATGAGAGCATAACAGAGAGTGTGGTGGAGATTCACAGATACATTTCTGTGAAATCCATAGGAAATGTATCTGTTAGTACGTGCTCTTTGCCTTATGGCGGAATTTATCAAAGAGAATGTGTGTGTGGACAGTGGCAGATACTTGGGGAAAAACAGATACTGAGACAGAGAGTAATGAAATTTCATTATTGAAAATAATACTGAGAGTTGTATTACTGTTTGCTCTGATGAGAGATTTTGGGGGGGAAATCTCTCTCCTTTTCTCTCACTCTCGTCGGCTAATGTCAACAAACCACCAAACAACAGTTCATTTTATTTTGCCATACTTCAGTTTGGTTCAGTTCAGTTCAAATGGCTGACAACCAACCGACAGACGTCGAACGACCGACTTTTTGTGTATGTATCTCAGAAAAATGTGCGATACGAAAATACGACAATGATGATGATGGTCGGTCGGTTGGTTAGCTGGCTGGCTGGTTGTTTCGTACTTATGGAAGCGGCAAATGGTTGCGAGTATTTTTTTTCGTTGGGTTTTGGATTCCCTCCTGATAAAGTGTGTGGGGAGAAGGGGGTAAATTTGTGTGTCGTCGTTAGAAACTAAGTAGGTAGGTAGGTTCATGCATGAAGAGCAACAAGGGCAACTGAGAGAGTAAGAGGTGCTATGGTAGAGGAGAAGAAGTTGTGGAATTGGGAGCCCTATATATCTTTAATATTTTCACACAAGTTACACTATTTGCTTAAAGTGCCGCACATTCTGAACTCCCTTTCCCCTCCTCCTCAAACATTTTTCCTGTGTTGTTGTTGGTTTTTCATGGGGTTACAGTATGTTTAATGTAGAAGATACTTGTTCTTGTTGCTTTATAAAACCGAATAGTAGTTAGTGTTTTTATACCCTAAACCCCATTGTGGCAAGGGTACTATGTCTTTGTGCATTTGTTTGTAACATGGAGAAGAAGGAAGCGAGATAGACCCATAGTTACTCTTGACAATTTTCATAGATCCATGTATTCTTGCTAACAAAACGCAGGTCGCATTTATTATCCGATTGAGATGAAATTTTTCAAACAATATTTGCTTGGTCCAAGGACGAACCCTATTGAAATTGGTGAAAATCGGTCCAAATTTAGATATAGCTCCCATATATCTTCATCTAATTTCGGGTTAATTGTACACTAAATGTCGAACATCAGTCCAAATGATTTGAATTTTGGCACATCCAACCTAATTCAGGCTAGAAGCAAGTACATCAAATTTGGAGAAAAAATATGTATCTTTATCCTGTTAGAACGTCCTAGGTCTGCGCCAAAATGTTTGCGTGCTCAAGGCTTTAGTGCACCCTCCAGAATATTTTCGCTATAATATTCGGCATTTATTCTGATGCCACGGTAGATTAATACAAGCGGAGAGCGACCATCGGCTGTTATGGCGGCCCACACCATCACCATGGCCGGCGCTTGAATTCTGGTGGCCAACCGAAGGTGCACAATTTTAGCTGGCAAGTAACCCCGGCCATTTTGTTTGTTTACAAACTGCTGGACAACAAATGCTTTCTCATCGGAGAAAACCAAATTCGACAGTTCACCACTTTCGTTGTAAGCTCTTGCACTTTTTGGAATTTCATTACCCCGAAATGATCATTATCAAGATCGGTTCTGATTTGGATATAGCTTCCATATTTATCTTCAACCGATTTTGTGTTAATTGTGCACCAAATGACTATTATCAGTCAAAAACTCCTGAATTTTGGTACATCCAACCGAATTCAGACTAGAAGCAAGTACATTAAGTTTGGTGAAAATCAGTACAGATTTACCTGTAGCTCCTATATATATGTTTCATCCGATTTGGTTTTTAAGTCCCCCACATCCCTGCATTCGGTCGGATGTACCAAAATTCAGGACTTTTTGACTGATATTGGCTATTTGGTGTACAATTACCCCGAAATCGGTAGAAGATATATATGAGACCTATATCCAACTCTGAACCGATCTTGATAACATTTGGCAGAGGAATTTGTGGGCTATTTCTGATAACTGGTACAAAATATCATTTTTTTGGGGGGCATAGATTCTAGATTTAACCAAATCTAGAAGCAAATACATAAACTTTTGAGAAAATCGGTTCAGATATAGCGGCTATAGCCATTTATATGTTTCATCCGATTTGGTGTTTAAGTCCCTCACATGCGTAATATGCATTCGACGACGATAATATTTTGTGCCAGTAATCAGATACAATCCAGAAATACCCCTGCCAAATTTTATTGAGATCGGTTCAGATTTGGATATAGCTCCCATTTATATAGTCGACCGATTTCGGGTTAATTATGCACCAAATATCCAATATCAGCCCAAGTGACCTTAATTTTCGTACATCCGATCGAATTCAGTCTAGAAACAAGTACATCAAATTTGGAGAAAATCGGTTCAGATATAGCTATAGCTCGCATATATATGTTTCATCCGATTTGGTGTTAAAGTTCCTCACATGCGTAATATGCATTCGACAACAATGATATTTGGTACCAGTTGTCAGATACATCCCAGAAATATCTCTGCAAATTTTTATCAAGATCGGTTCAGATTTGGATATAGGTCCCATATATATCCCCAACCGATTTCGGCTTAATTGTGCACCAAATAACCAATATCAGTTAAAAACTCTTGAATTTTGGTAAATCCGACCGAATTCAGTCTAAAAGCAAGTACATCAAATTTGGTGAAAATCGGTTCAGATATAGCTATAGCTCCCATTTATTTGTTTCACCCGATTTGGTGCTAAAGTCCCTCACATGCTTAATATGCATTCGACAGCAATAATATTTGGTACCAGATATCTTAAAAGGCTCGGAAATATATATAGTGGTGGAGGTTGTCATATAGTCGGCCCCGCCCGACTTTTGATTTTTCCTTACTGGTTTGAGGGATAAAACCAAGGAGCCGACCCCATGACTACAGGGTCCAAAGTTTATCATTCTAAGCCGATGATTTTTCCCCAAAAGAAATAAAAATCCCACCATATGTTTAGTTGTTGGATGATAGCCCCGGTTATTTTATTTGGTTATGGATACTTTGAGGGTGTTGTCGTTATTGTTGCTCTTAATGATTTGTGATGAGGTGTTGTTTTTGT